TTTTTTTTAAAAGTTTTTTCACCCCTTAATCATAAAAAAATATATTTTTTTATTCTTCTGTAATTAATTTATTAAGTTTATCAAAATATATACATTTTTTAGTCTTTAAATTTTTAAGTTGAGGGTTAAAAAATATACATATATTATAAGTTAAGAGGATAAAAAATATATATTTAAATAAACTTAACATAATAATTAATAAAAGAACTAAAAAAATATTTTTTTATAGTTAAAAAACTAAAAAAATATATAAGAAGGTTAAGGAACAAAAATTACACAAAAATCTAAAATTGAGGGACTAAAATTGACATTTAACCGAATAAGAAGAAAGAAGTGAACCCCCCAAAAATTCCATGCATCTTCAAGTCTTATCATTTTTGTTTTGTTATTTCAAAGTCAAATGATCTTTTAAGTCAGTTTGTATGCACTAAACTATGTTGATCTCTTTCCGGTTCAATATGATAGAAGATATATGTCAGGATTTAAAGCATTCCGTGTTTATTCTTACTTCCACATGGTGGGTGGCAAACCATATAAATTGCATCAAGAAGTTAAAAATGGTTGCTGTAACCTGAGTTCAGTCAGCAACCCATTCATGTGAGCGACCAGAATTCGGTGGTACAGAACTTTCAAACTACCTTCCTCTGCAGGTGGTAACAGCAGCAGAAACGCAAGAGCATTAAAAGAGCATTAACTCAGACAAAGAAGGGCGCTGGATCCATCTTGATTACTGGTTACTCTGAAAATCATTGACCATGTTCTGACTTCTGAGATTTCCCTGTAAATATTTTAACTCTACAGCAAAACCTTGATTTGCAGCTGATTTTAATTCAGATATATACCCTTAATTCCTATAGTAACGTCAGCATGACATCAGAGTTAAATATGCTACGGACTCTCAGGAACACAGATGAAATTCCATTTGATTACCCTTTAATAAGATATATGCAAAAAAATTTCCAACCTTGAGATGGCCAGGAAGAGGCTTGGGAAAGGCGAGGGTGTTCCTCATTGTATAACCCATTAGATGTACAAGGAAAAGAAACAGGAAAATTACTGATGGACTAATACGAATAAATATGAATTCAAGATGGCAATTGTATTCACAAACATTAATGTTTTATCTCTACAACAAAAACTGATAGCAATGCTGAAGCTGAGTTTGCTACAGATTAGCATGGTGTAGACCTGCAAATGAATTTTTGTTGTTGGGTTTGGCATTGTACATGACACGATCTGGCTTTGTCTCTCAACTCCTGGAATGCCCTCATTGTTTCCACATCAAACCCTCCAGCAAACTGGCAGCAAAAAAATATGTACATTGTCATTACCTTCTCAGTCAGCAATGGAACAGTGAACTTATTTGAAGTGTCAGTAAAGTTAAAAAGTGAATGTAACTTACCTGATGTACACGGAATGCAAATCTGACCCCTTGAACAATTAATTCCTCTTCTTCCGGGCCACCACCGACAGTTTCAAGCTCTGCTGAGACTCTTTTCATATACTTCATAGCTAATTTTACAGAAGCTAGCTTAATCTGCAATATTCAGTCAAACGAGGCAGACTATCATATTAACAATTGCTTTAAAACTCACTTATACTTTAAAACTTTTGTCTCTTTCCATACACAACAAAGAATGTGTGGTAATCCCAGCAGTGGATCTTATACAATATGAAGATCCTAGTCAAGACCAAGACTTCAAATTCTCCCTTTTTCATTCATGAATCTCAATTAACAGAGGCAAACAAGTAAATACAAATACAGATCTAAGAGTTCACATGTGTGCATGTAGGTCTCTCACCCCCTCCGTGATCTACAGGCAAGATTAATTAAAAGGGACCACCTAAAAATGTATCATCAAATTGACAAATGGAATTTATATTGATACCTGTCCTATACAGTGTGATCCTAACCACAAGACATTAGGGAAGTTTACCATCTCCAAGAACTGGCCACACATCAACCTTTCTAGGAATGCTACAGTAAAAAGAAATCTGTACCTGGCTTACAATTCCAGTGTCAAGCATCCATTCCGTAGGGATTTGGAATCCTTTGTATCTCTTGGCAGCAGATTCCCTCATTCGCGAAAGATTGTAAACACCATGCTCCAATCTGTCCATTTGAATTTAGATAGCATAATCAGAAGAGCAACTCACAATGCAGGATAGTCAAATGATGCATATTGCAAAGTGAAAGTAAGACAGTTTATATATAAGGAGCATTTACTTTTCAAGCAGGGCCTGCATCTTTTTGAGAGCTGGACCACAAGGTTGACGGGGGCCATCACGAAAAGATGAAGCCTCAGATTCCAGTTTCTTAAGATCACAATACCCAAATGCCGCCTCTCTCAATGCATCAGCCTTTTGTTCCGGCCAATCAAAGTGTTTGAGCACTGCTCTTTCATCCACCTAAACAGAAACAAAACATGGATCATCAAAATGGAATTCCTCAAGAAAATAAACAAAATAAAGGAACTCTCATAAATAAAAGAAAATTCACCAAGTATGAAAGCTCATCGTCAAGCCATTTAACAAAAGGCACAACATCCTCAATGTCTGTAAATGCAGCATTCTCAACCTCTTTGATCAAAAACCTTATGAAGTCTCCTTGTGTCTCTACATCTGTCTTTATCTGTACAATCACAAGTACCAAATTAAAAATCCCAGTTCTTAATTCCCACGAAAGTTAACTTGAAATGGCAAATCCTTTTTCTATATTTTTGAGATTCATGTTTCCCAAATCCAAAAACCAAAATATAAGATAAAAAAAAAAAAATTCATGACATGCAGTCCGATGTGAAAAACACTTTTTCGTTTTCTTAACATCTAATTCAAATCTAATCCTGTCTTATCTATTAAAATCCAACAAAAACAATAGTCACGGACGAAGAATAATTGCTTGTCAGTTGTCCACATGAAAAGGTCATACAACCACAGTGGCGATACTGTAAATATACAGTTCAATTGGACAAGGCACAAGAGCACTTACCGCAAGCAAATAAGCTGACCGATTCTCAATCTCTCCGATCATGTTACGTGCATTGGCAGATACCGGCAACATCTCCGCCGCATTGCCACCTCCGGAATCTCTACGTGAATCCCTCCGCATCAGTGAGTGATAAAATTCCACCACCTCAGGAACTCGCCTCACTTTCGCTGCTGTCGCTCTTGTTCCCTTCAAAGGAGGAGGAGGAGGTGGAGGTGCTGCCTTCACCGGTGGTGGCGGAGGAGGAGGGGGAGGAGGAGCCTTTTTTGCTGCTGCTGGCGGAGGTGGAGGCGGGGGAGGAGGAGGAGGAGGAGGAGGAGGCGGAGCAGCTGACTTCTCTGTTGAAGCTCTGCTCTCCGTCGAATCGCAAGACGTTGATGTAGGTGATCCTAACGATGACGGCCGCGGTGGTGGTTTTGGAATTCTAGGAACGCGAGATCTGAGATTCGACAACTCCGCGAGTTCCTCCGAGTTACACCGCGAATGCCGAGGTCTTTCACCACACTCTGTTTCTTCTCTCTTGAAATCCGAGTTCTCTGCTCTCTGATTCTCCAAATTTGAGCTAATGTCGTTATACCTGGAGCTGTTTGTTCGCTTCAAATTCTTAATCAGATTCGATTTCACAGAAACCTCCGTTAGACCTTGAAATCTCTGCGAAGAAGAATTCTCTTCACTTTCAGGTGAAATCTCAGCTCTGCTTTTTTCGGGTGCCATTTTCTTCAGCTCTGCGATCTCCATTTCCATTTCCCTCATTCTCCTTTCTCTTTCGTTTCTCTCCACTTCCATTTGCCTCTGTTTCTTTTCACTTTCCTTTCTCTCTGCCTCCAACTTTACTATCTCGGCTTCCAGTTCTCTCATTTTCTGTTCCATTTTCTTTGTTTCTGCCTCAATCGCTGCCTTCATTTCCTCGATCTCATTTCTCAACTCTTCATTTTCACACTGCAAATCCTCGTTCCCTTTCATGACTCGCTTCAGCTCTACATTTTTTGCTTCAATCTCATTCTCCAGCACAGGCACAATAGCTACTGATTCTTTCAACAGCTTGAACTCGAGAAGCTCTGTTTTCAGCTTGGACTCACGATCGCGCAACTCCTCCACGAGGCGGAGTAGCTCAGTGACGTCCGGTGGCCGAGGCTGCACCTGAGCTGAAGACCGCGGGAAGTAGGCACCAAAAGAACGCGAGAAAACCGTTTTCTGAGAACTGTTCTTCCCGGCTGAGCTTGGTGACGATAATGGCGGCTTGGGAGGAGTCTTCTGCTTGGAATTTGCCGGCGACTTCTGCAAGCCCATTGCCATTTTCACCTTACCAGCCACCATGATCGATCTCTCTGGGTTCCGTTTATGGCGTCAGTGGCTTATCTTTAATCGGACATAAAGACGTTGTTGTCCGTGCAGCTCTTTGAGAAAGTGAGGTCTCCGAAGAAAAGACTGAAATTGAAGCCTTTAGGATTTAGAGGTTGGAGTTGAAGTAAAAATGTTGTCTAGTGTCGGGCACAGGGATCGAGGAACGGTCTTCTCTTCTGGGATACAATTTGAAAAATTATATAAAATTAAATTACTTTGGATTCTAGCACGCACTAGAACGGTAACGTTTGTGCGTGGAGTGTAGGCGCGTCGGACTTGTGGAGTTTGAATAATTTGTTCAACACAAAAGGAAAAATGAGAACATTGGAAAATTTTTGTGAAATTATTTAAATATTTATTTTAATGTTTTTATTATTTTTTAACATTTTATTTTTTAAGTTGTCTTAAGCACCTTTATACTCTTATTTGTATGGAATGATTTAATAATTAAAAATTTTAAATTAAGTGAAAAAAAATTTTAAAAATAAAAAATTTA